AAAAAGATATCTTTTACAAAGGAATAATGAAGTCTACAGCAGACTTTCATCCACAACCATGAAAATCAGAGACAATGGAATGAAATAAGAACTTCAACTTAGAATTGGCTACTTAACTAAACTATCATTCAGAAAAGTAAGACACATGATTATAACAGAAAGCATTTACTTCCAACTGCTTCATTTACTTTGTACTTTTACTGAAAGAATCTTCAAAAGGTGTACTTTGGGAAGCAGAATGCTGAATCCAGAAGGAAGGAGAAAGAGATAAGAACAAAAAAGAGAGCACACATATGGACGAATAAGAACAGCAGTAAGTCTAAACAGTGTAAATTGTATTAAAAAATGACTTGAGGAGAAAGGAATTAAAAAACAAGATACAATGAAAAAGGAAGAGCTATTACATATACACAAGATAGAAGGAGTATGGCATGATTAAACTAGTATCCAGATTCGATAAGAATGGAAAGAAAATAGAAATAGTAATTAAGACAACACTACATTAGACCAAATATGTCTGTAAAATTGTAAAGAGTTACCCTTAAAAGAAGAAGAAAGGGGGCTGGGAAGGTGGCTCAGTGGTAGAGTGCTTGCCTTGCATGCATGAAGCCCTGGGTTCGATTCCTCTGCACCACATAAGCAGAAAAAGCCGGAAATGGCACTGTGGCTCAAGTGGTAGAGCACTAGCCTTGAGTTGAAGAGCTGAGGGACAGCGCCCAGGCCCAGAGTTCAGTCCCCACGACTGATGACCACAAATGATGGAGGAGGAGGAAGAGGAGGAGGAGGAGGAGGAGGAAGAGGAGGAGGAGGAAAGGAAGGCATCACTTTCAATCATTAGGAAGAAAAACAATGAATTAAGAAAATTACTCAATCTAATATAAAGAAACAATGGAGATAAATAGAAAAAATCAGAGTAAACAAGCACAAATAAGATGGTAAAAATCATTAAAATATGTTAATAATAAAAATAAATATAAATGAACCATTTTCCAATAAAGACTGTCATAGCTGGGCGCTGGTGGCTCACGCCTGTGATCCTAGCTACTCAGGAGGTTGAGATCTGAGGATTACGGTTCAAAGCCAGCCTGGGCAGGAAAGTTTGGGAGACTCTTATCTCCAATAAACCACCAGAAAACCAAAAGTGGTGCTGTGGCTCATGTGGTAGAGTGTTAGCCTTGAGCTGAAGAGCTGAGAGACAGCACCCAGGCCCAGAGGTCAAGCCTCGCAACCAACAACAACAATAACAAAAAGACTGTCATATTTGCCAGGTGCTGGTGCCTCACACTTGTAATCCTAGCAACTCAAGAGATTGAGATCTAAGGATCAGGGTTCAAACTGAGCCCAGGCAGGAAATTCCTTGAAACTCTCATCTCCAATTAACCACCAGAAAACCAGAAGTAGAGCTATGGTTCAATGTGGTAGAGCACTAGCCTTGAGCAAAAAGGACAGTGCCAAGGCATTGAGTTTAAACTCCATGACCAACAAAAAAATTAGCATAGCTGTATAAATATTAGACAAATTGGATTATAGAAAAAGAGTACTATTAGGGAAAGTGTTGTTTTACTACTAGTAAAAAGAACAATCCTCCAGGAAAATACTAGACTTCTAAATTTGTATGTACATAACCTCCATATATGGAGAGCAGAACATGTCCCAAATACAGGGAGATATTGACAAATGCATTTTTTTTGGTAGCACTGGGATTTAAATTCAGGGCTTTGTGATTACTTGGCTTACTTGATTGCTTGGCTGGTACTCTAACAGTTAAGCCACACCTCCCCAAATGCATTATCTTTATATGAAATTTATTAGACCAAATATATCTGTATTTGTCTATGTATGTTTAATGGATTAATATATCTCATTAACTAATAGCCCCAAAATATAAAAAGATAAAATATACTTAAGGCATAAATAGCATGATCAATAGGTTTGATTTAATAGCTACAATTCAACTACCACAAGCAATCTAAAGACCACGACAATCAATATATTAGAATATTCGTACTCCCTTGAAACAAACAAGTCTCAGAAATTCTGGATGTCAACGTCACATATTACTATCTCTGACTTTAGGGCAAAACTTAACACCAAAATGATACTATCTTAAAAACACTAATGCTGGGCTGGGAAAGTGGCTCAGTGGAAGAGTGCTTGCCTTGCATGCATGAGGCCCTGGGTTCGATTCCTCAGCACCACATAAACAGAAAAAGCCGGAAGTGGCACTGTGGCTCAAGTGGTAGAGTGCTAGCCTTGAGCTGAAGAGCTGAGGGACAGCGCTCAGGCCCAGAGTTCAGGACCCACGACCGGCAAAAAAAAAAAAAAAACTCTAATGCTGGGAAATTCCAAAGTACTTTTAAATAGCTTCATGGATGGAAAAATACATCCATATAGATTTTTCATCCATCATAGTGAAAACCAGAGAGTATTTTAAAAATTGCAGATATTTTCATACAGAAGTGTTAGCAGCACATTTGCCACTGGATGACTCTAGCTGTTTCATTATGGAAAAAAAATAGCTAGTTAGTGTACCAAAAGCCAAGTTATAGGATGGTCAGACAGCCAAAAGCCAAATGTACTGAAAGCTGATATTTTAAAATGCGTTCCATCTCTATTTGTTCCTTTTCTGGCTAGGTCCAGGATGCACAAGTTTAAAGTGCATTTCTTTACAAAAAGATGCTGGTTCTTGCACAAAGACTGCTTGCCAGCCTTGCACAGACAACAACAATTTTGCAAGAATTGCCTGCTCAAGCTTGTCTACTCAGCAATAGATGGGTCCAAAGAAGAACTGACATCATGATTAGTGTAGCCACGGATTATGGTTCCAAAACAACTCTGCAACCTTTGCTCATTTTGTCCTTTACAAACTTTCATCTTATCTATCTGTCTATCTATCTATCTATCTATCTATCTATCTATCTATCTATTTATTTATTGTCGGTTGTGGAGCTTGAAATCTGGACTTGGGCACTGTCCCTCAGCTCTTCAGATCAAGGCAAGCACACTACCACTTGAGCCACAGCGTCACTTCCAGCTTTCTGGTGGTTTATTGGAGGCAAGAGTTTCACGCACTTTCCTGTCCAGGCTGGCTTTGATCTGGGATCCTCAGATCTCAGCCTCCTGAGTAGCTAGGATTACAGGCGTGAGCCACCAGTGCCCAGCTACTTTCATCTTATTTTGCCTCCTTGGAGATGCCCAGGGTCCATGTGACATGCACATAATGGATAGAATTTCCTGTCATCCTCAGTAAAATCTTTGTTTTGGAGAGCTAGTCTCTCTGCCACTGGTGCTAAGGTTGGGGGAAAAAACAACAACAACAACAAAGAAACCCCATATAGGCCAGTTCTCCATAACAATTTTGTGATGTAGGTTCAAAGGCTGGGGCACAACTAAAACTTTGGGTTGTGAAGGAGTAGCAAGATTTCTCCACAATTTGAAGGTAGGCCATCCACTAATGTGATGTTGCTATAACTGTTTTTAGTGAACTGGCAGCCTACAAATGCTACACAAAGCCCAGCCAGTCAGGAAGCAGATGCAGATGCTTGAGTGTAAGCTTAAATAAAGTTGTGTGTTTCTTGGGTGGAGTTATTCCCTTTTTGAAAGTTTCTGAATTGAAGGAATTTTGAAGAGTAGCGGTCTGGAGGTCTCATTGGGGTCCTGACTTCAAGTGTGGGGCTTACCTCGAGATGACACAGAAGACAGGTTGAACTTGCCTTTTCCACGTAGTGACACCCTTGTGATGCCTTCAACTCCTACTCAGTAGGCTTAAAGTGCCCGGGGGTACGATGAAGGGAGCTTTGCCGGGGCGTGTGCTGGGAAATGCTGGAGAATGGTCTCTGTTCCCTGGTTTCCTCAGAAGCAGCATCCCTGAGTTTTAGGAGGCGACCAGATGCAAACCCAGCCGAGTCTATGCAGACGAGCGAGCACTGCTAGAGACCAACACGCGAGAGTCTTGGAGGGAAATCTGGTTTCCTGGGGTATGGCAGATGAGGTCCACCTAAGCCGCAGTGTGAGGTCTGGAGATCCAAGATCCGAGCAGTGTTTCCCCTTCGCGGGGGCCCTGCTTTAAGCTCCTGTCTCAAAAATCAGGTTTAGTCCCACAGACCCCCTTCACACAGCAGAGCTTCTTTCCCCCACCCCCAGACAAGAAAAGGCGGCTCAGTATGCACGACTGGGGGCGCCGCACCCGGGTTCTAGGGGTGGGGAATAAGGGAGGCAGGCAATGGTGGGGTCCAGGCTTCACTCATTCATCCATTCATCATGTATTTATTTAGGGTCTACCACTTGCCAGAAGCTGCTAGCAGTGTTGCCATCCACAGAACAGTCTAGCAGTCACACAAAACACAATGCATGCAGGTCAGTGCTGCAGAGATCGAGGGGCACGCAGGGTCCCCCCGCTCCGGCCCTGGCCCCAGCGCTCGGGCCGCTCCCAGCTCAGGGTGCCCTTAGCACCACTGCGGGCCCCGGGCATCCAAGCATCCCCAGCCGGCACCTGCATAGGATGCGCCAGCATAAGTCGGGTGTCAGTAAGAATGAATGCGTGATGGGCAGCCGGACGCGTGCACGCGGGTGGGCACGGCCGCAGCGGGACCCCGCGGGTCTCAGCACAGTTTGGGGGTCGAGGGTCGGGGCGCGTGCGGTGGCGACACTCCACCGACCAGGCCGCGGCCCGCCCACCTACAGCCCCGCCCTCTCGTCTCCATGCCCCGCCCTCTCACCGCAGAGGCCTCTGGGAGATGTAGTCCGCGCATGCGCCCCCCGGTTGGGGGGGGGCGGGTCGCAGCGGGCGGAAGAGGAGCCTCCCTCGCGCCTCCCTCCCACCCCTGTCCTCCGGGGATGCGAGGCGCGGGGCGGGCCCGGCGCGCCCACCTCCACGGTTCCCCCCGCGGCCGGGGCTCCGGGCCCCGCCTCCTCTCCCGGGAAGCGCTGACGCTGAGGGTCGCCGCGCAGCCTCCTCCGGGAGCGGCGCCGGAAGCCGGGTCAGCCCGGGGGTCGCGAGATTGAGTCCCGGGATGGCGCGCCAGGTAAGGCGGACGCGCCGACCGGCGGGCGGCCGGGCAGAGCCGGGAGCGCCGACTCCGGGCTCTCGGCTGAGCCCGTCGGGGCCAGCCCGGTGGCCTGGCTTCCTGCCCAGACGTCCAGGTGCCCTCCACCCTCCCCGCGTCCCCTCGCCCCTCCCCGCCGCCCTCTCCACCTGGGGACGCCCGCCCGGCCTCGGCGGGAATGGTGGGATTGGAGGCCTCGCGGGAACGGCTGAGTCCCGCACTTGTATTCTTGTAAGATCCGGGCAGCGGGGACACAAAACAAGTTTGATCTGGGTGCAGTATGTTAATCCGAGAGCCGGAGCGGAGAGCCCCATCCGCGGCTGTGGCCTGGCACCGCCCGGGCCGAGTTGCGGGGCCTGAGGTTGGGAGCGGGGGCCGGGGGAGGGGCAGCCAGCGGTGCGGTCGTGGCCGGCGGGAGCCTTGGCTGGACTCACACTGCTGGGCCGAGGCGGCCGCTGGGTCCTGTGTGGCCAGGTAGGACAGGCACTGTGCCAGGACCCTGGCATCACAACCCCGCAGCATCAAAGGAGAAGCCAGGGAAAGGGACCGTTGCATTGGACCGAGTTCTTGCTGACAGGCAGACCCCAGACCCCTGGCTCTCAAGGGTTTCCTGTTCTGTGAGTTGTGGAGATTGGAACACTGACCTTTCAGACTTGATAGTCAGGGAAGGGTGAGTCCTCACATGCCGGTAGCTTTCAGAAGGTGAGCCGGAGTGACCTCAGGAGTGCAAGGTCACAGTCAGATTGGGGAGGGCTGGGGAATGCGAGCAGTCTTTCCTATCCAGCAACCCAGAAGTCCAGGGACATGTGAATGACAAGCCTGATTCAGGATCGGATCTGATAGTCCAAGGCACTGTGGGAATTGAGTCAAGGCTGGCCAAGGACTCTGTGAGATGGATAGGATCGATGGGCATTGAAGCTGAGGTTTTGGAGGGGACAGTGACACAGTAAAGCTGTGCTTTAGGAAGCTCAGCATGGCAGCCGTTAGGAAGGAGGGAGCCCTGGATCAGCCTGGAAGCTTTTCTTCTGTTGGCAAAACGGCAGATGGTCCAGGTGGCAAACCAGTGGTGGCTCTCCTCCTGAACATCAGTGTTTGCACACTTACTTGTTTCCTCCCCTGTGCACATACCACACACTCTCGCTTCACTTTTTCTGTGCACTGGGAAGCCTCTTGTCAGACATAGCTTGTTCTCATTGATACTTTTTTTCTAATCTGTCTTTTTAAATTTTAAAAAATAATTTTTACTGAAATTAAATGATTACGTAAATTTCACAAATTTCACGGTATTGTGAGACTTAAAGTCATAACCACATTTTAACCTTCACAAGGCTTCTCATTCGTATTTTATAAGAACTTTGTCATCTTGAGGTCAAGATGGTGAGAGGCCTGGAAGGCATCATGTATAGAGGGCTAAAAGAGCCAGCTATATTTAGCCTGGAGATAAAGAGCTCCCTCCTCCACCCCCACCCCGGAAGTCAGGAGCAGGGTGTAGAAGAGCCAGAGGTGCCAGGCTGCACTCTGCAGCCAGACAATCTGGCTACAATAATACCAGTCTTAGCACTTTGTTCCTCCCCGCACTTTTTTTTTTTTGTAGGTCTGGGCACTATCCCTGAACTCTTTTGCTCAGTGCTAGAGCTCTACTACTAGAGGCACAGTTCTATTTTGCCTTTTTTTTAGGGTGCTTAATTGAAGATGAGTCTTGCGGACTTTCCTGCCCAGCCTGGCTTTAAACCACGATCCTTAGGATCTCACCTCCAGAGTAGCTAGGATTACAGGCATGAGCCACACCAGTGCCCTGCCTCCTCCCAACATTTATGCTGGGCACCTCTTGTATATTAATTCATTTTGTCTTTACAACATCTCTTTGAGGTAGAGATGATCCCAGGGTTGGGATCAGATACTTTTACTGGGGCCCAAATGGGTTAGATTGGCTGAAGTCCCATCACTAATAGATGTGTTCAGTGTACCTACCTCTAAGGTATGGTTCTCAGGAAAGTCAACGTACAGGAGCCAAAGTCACAATCAGAATCAGTGCAGACATTTGACAGTGTTCTACATAATTTCCTGTGTTAGGAACTTAATTCCCAAGGCCATATGTTAATGCTACTTGAGAGGTGGGAACTTGGGGAGGTGTTTGGCACTTGAGAGTTCTTATCCTCATGAATGTTTTATTTCATTCCTACGTTATTGAAGGTGTGGCCTTGTTGGCTTTGTTTCTCCCTTGTATATGATACAGGCAGAAGGCCCTCAACAGATGTGTTCCCTCCACTAGGACTATAAGAAATACATTTTCTCCCTTTCCTTTCCTTCTCCTTCTCCTTTCCTCCCCATTCCCTTGCCTTGCCTTTCCCTTTTTTTGGTTAGTCATGGGCTTGAACTCAGGTCCTGGGCCCTGTTCCTGTTGCTCAAAGCTAGCACTTTACCACTTTGACTGACAGCTCCACTTCCAGTTTTCTAGTGGTTAATTGAAGATAAGAGTCGCATGGACTTTCCTGCTGGCTTTGAACTGTGTTCCTCAGATCTCAGCCTCCTGAGTAGCCAGGATGACAGGTGTGAGCCATTCTTTTACTGTGAAAGTAGAACTGACAGGCTAACGGGAAATTCTCAGTGGCTAATTCTTTGCCCCCTGCTTCGTTTGTGCTTTTACATCAGACTGTCTGAAACTGGGTAACTTACAAGGGACACATTTATTTCACACAGTTTCGGAAGCTGCGAAGTCCAAGGCTGAGCTGCTTGAGTTAGGGTCAAGTTAGGGTGTCATCTCTTGAAGAGGAAGGGAGCTGAGCCTGTCCTTTTTATCTGGGGACCACTCCTAAGATAACAAGTTATCCTTCAGTAGTGGCATTAATCTCCTCATGACCTCGTGACTCCCTCCGTGCTGTTGCACTGGGGACTGAGTTGCCAGTTCATGAACTCACAGCTGTACTACCTAAACTGGAACCTGCCTTGGGGGGTCATGCGTCGGAGGTTTGCTGGACAAGCTTGACTGCTGGTGGCATGGAGTAAAGGTGGCGGGAACCAGGAAGAACTGTATGATCTACAGTTGGGCGCTATGTCACCTGATCAAGGCTAGGGACACCCACCCCAGTTCTTGCTCTCTTGGTCCCCTTTGTTTACCCTGGCTTGTGGCACATGTCTCTTTGGGTGGGATTTGGTACAGTGGAATTGCTATAGGTTTTCAGGTTCCTCTTGTCACTGAGAGGTACACCTGTGCAGGCGGGATCACTCAGGCCCTCTGCCATTGTCTGGTTACTCTTGGATGTCTGATTACTCCTATGTTCCCTCAGACAAAGCAGTGAGCCAGCTGGACTATAATGGGAGCATCCAGCCTTTTGGCTCTGTGACCACCCCTCCCTAATCCCCATGTAATTGTGTACTTAGTGCTTTAGGTGGTAGTTTTTTCATCTATTTTAAAGTAACTTTGTATTACCAAAGGACATGCATGTTAATCATGCAGCATCCACGCAAGTAATGAAAGCATGCAAGTGAAACAGACATATTCAGCTCATAGGTGGCATCTGTGCCCATTTGGACCCGGGAGACAGCATCTGGAGTCTACAGCACACAGATGGGGTCTCCCGAGCCTTGATGACCTCAACCACTTCCACACTGCCAGTCCCCATGGTTCCCAGGCCTTGGCTAGAGTAGAAAATCTGAAGGGAGAGAAGCAAGAAGGCACAGCAGAGAAGCAGAGAGGATCAGAGGACAGAGCCAAGGTGGGGTGATACTAAGAAGGAGACTAGAGAGTAAAGGGCAAAACGTGGCAGGGGTAACAGATCCGTGGCAGGGTCCCCAGGAGCAGGTGCACATCAGGGCTTCCCAGAGAACTTGGGCTGACATGTAGTCCGACTCACCTCTGTGATCCAAGATTGGCTATCCACTAGGGAGATGACATTGGCATGGGGCAAAGTCGTGGGCTAGCTTCTCACCCTAGATATAAACTGCGCCCCCCCCCCCCGTCATGAAGTTGAATGATCCATGTGAGATGTCTGCTGGGGAAGGCACCAGAACTCAGCATTAGGCATTAGAGTTGCTACCTGGAACCTGTCTGTCGCAGACACTATCTGCCTGTACATGCTACAATTCCAAGGAAATCTGTATGGCAGCTGTACTGTACTGTTCACACAGTATCTACCCAGAACATTCTGGTCATTTGGGGACTGGCAGGAACCCTCTGCATATTCCCTTGTGTCAGCCTAGAAGCTGCTTGGTCACCAAGCCTTTTCTAAGGACATGGGTCTGAGGCCTGTGTGGTTAGCTCGTGGGCACGGGTGCTGAGGTTAGCCACATTTTATCTGTTTAGAAGGCCAAGAAGACATGTAAGGCTCTCAGCAAGGTTTTCCAGGGTTTCTGGGACATTCCTGAGAGGAAGAGGAATGCTGCTGGCCATTCACTAGGCTAAAAAGGGGGTTGCTGACACAGCCATGACGCAAAGGCTCTGACACCTGGAGCCTCAGACGGCCGGACAGTCACCCAACGCTAGAGGCTATCCTAGCCAAGAGTACGGATGGAGCCTAAAGACTTGGAAATCATCAGAGTGCCAGGGGTGTTTCCTCATGGGGCTGGCTGCCTGCCAGCCTATATGTGATTCAGAGCTACCAGTAGCAGTGACAAGTGTGAGTGTGTGTGTGTGTGTGTGTGTGTGTGCATGGCAGTATTGGGACTCAATCTCAGGGCCTGGGTGCTCACTGTCCCTAAGCTTTTTCACTCAAGGTTGATGCTCTACCACTTGAACCACACCTCTACTTCTGCCTTTTTTGCTGGTAAATTAGAGGTAAGAGATCCACAGACTTTCCTGCCTAGGCTGGCTTCGACTCAGTTTGAAGATCTCAGCCTCCTGAATAGGTCAGATTACAGGCTCTTGGCACAGTAATGATTTTTTTTTAAATCACTGTCTGCCATAATGAAACAAGGTAATGTGTCATCTTTGCATTATTAGGAATGTCTTCATTTTTTCTTATAATTCTTTATCAAAATAGAATTTGTTTCTAATCTAGAAGGATTCTTCTCATAATTTGTATTCTATTTGCTTCATTCACACAAAGTTAATTTGTGTCATAATTTTAAATTCATGCCTGTCAGATGTTGGTCATTTTCTAGGATTTCATGGCTGCTTTAAATTTCACTGAATGATAATTTTTAAAGAAATACTGCTTTTATCTTACAAAAACAAAAACAAAAAACCATGGGAGGCAGGATGTGAGGATAGAATATAAAAGCAAAAGAATGGAGTTGAACTGTTTCCCAAAGCTCCCTTGGTTTCTCAGCTGCTTCTGAGCAGGCCTTAGGAATCGTTGAGCAAACATGGCTGCTTGCAGTTCTGAGGTGTGAGTGGTAGAGGCCAGGGAGGAAGCATGGTGGGGTGGGGACAGCTGGCCTGCAGTTTAGAAGGGCTTTGTGGGAATTACCTCCTGCCAAGCTTAGTGCCCTTGTGCTGCAGGTTCCTGTAAATGGTCTGGTGATGATGCCTGGCTTGTCACAGTGGAAGTGACCGTAGCTGACTCGTGGGGAGGGGCAATAGAGACATGGGCCTTGGAATGGCCAGTAGGACCGGGAAACTGAAAGTGGACTCTGCCCAGCAAAGGCCTGGGGTCCACCTGGGCATCCCAACCCAGAGGGCCTGTGAAGCACTTGGCTGTAAGATGGGAGTCTGAAGATCAAAGACTAAGCTCGGACCTTTGCATAGGCCAGGCCTGTGAGTTCTGGTTCACCTTCTGCCCCCACTGGCCAGTGAGCCTGGTGAAAGAGAGTCAGTCTTCTAGATTCACAGGACTTTGTGAATTTTGCATTCCGCCATCCCCTCTTCTCTTTGTGATGTTTAGAGGAACAACAGAAAAGTTTTACTTACTAAATTCCTCATTGTTACATCATCCACGATTTAAAACAATCAGGAATTTTTTCCTTTATATAGAAGTTTTTCTTTATATAGATTAAACATCCTTAGTCTAAAAATCTGAGATCTAAAATGCCCCCAAGTCTAGAACATTTTTTTTGGGGGGGGTCCGGTCATGGGGCCTGAACTCTGGGCCTGGGCGCTGTCCCTCAGCTCTTCAGCTCAAGGCTAGCGCTCTACCACTTGAGCCACAGCGCCACTTCCGGCTTTTTTCTTTTTGCTTATGTGGTGCTGAGGAATCGAACCCAGGGCCTCAGGCATGCAAGGCAAGTAATCTACCAGTGGGCCACCTTCCCAGCCCAAGTCTAGAACTTTTGAGCATCATGATGCAATGTATGGAAAATGCCACACCTGAATTCATGTGATGGGTCACAGTTAAAGGCAGTTGCACTAAAAGTGCTACATGTAAATAATATGAAATATACATGAAATTTGGGTTTAGTCCCTAATAATTCATGTATATGCACACATTCCCAAATCAGAAATCCAAAATACTTTGGTCCCAAGGATTTTGGCTAAGAAATACTCAAGCATGGTAACTAATTGGTTTTCTTAGTAAACTTTTTTTTTTTAATGCCACAGTGCTAGGATTCCAGGTTCTGATACATTTACTGGGAAGTTTGCTTCGTAACTAAAATGAATCTGAAATGGTAAATTTAGGATTGGTTGGCATTCTTGTCCTAGGTTTGACTTTGGCTCAACCCTGTGGTTGTGTGAATGAGACTTTGGTCAGCCATAACATGGGACCAACAAACTGGGGGCTTAAAGAAACTGAAATTGTACTCTCACAGTTCTGGAGGCCAGAATCCCCAAACAAGATGTCAGTAGGCCACATTGCTCTGAAGGACCAAGGGCAGGAACCTTCCTGCTTCTACCAGCTTCTGGGGGCTCCAGGCTTCCCTGGGCTTGGGGTGGCATCACTCCAAGCTCTCCATCTTCACATGGCCATCTGCTGTGTGTGTGTGTGTGTGTGTGTGTGTGTGTGCGTGTGTGCGTGTGTGCGTGTGTGTGTGTGTGTGTGTGTGTGTGTGCGTGCGTGCGCGCGCTTATAAGGACACTAATCATCTGGATATATTGACCACAATACCTTCTACTCATATCTGCAGTGACCCTGTTTGCAAAAAGGTCACATTCACAGCTGCCAGGAGTTCGGGCTTCACCATGTCTTCCTGGTGATCCCAGGCTTGTCTCTCTAGCTGATTTCTGCTGCACCTTGTGCCAAGGTCACTGAGCTGAGGGGCAGCTGGGCTGGGCCTTGCTGGCATGGAATCAGCCCACCTCCACAGACCGTGCCCACAGGTGCCCATCAGCTTTAAGGACCTGGCCGTGCGATTCTCAGAGGAAGAGTGGCGGCTCCTACAGGAGGGAGAGAGGGAGTTCTACCGAGACGTGATGCGGGAGAACTACGAGACACTGGTCTCTGTGGGTAAGTGGCCTGGGCCTCCGGAGCCAAGGCTGGGAGAGAGCCAGGAAGGCTGGAGGCCACCACAAGGGTTCAAGTCTTCATGGGGCTCCAGGCCAGCAGGTTGTAGGCTTCTTTCTTGTGAAGGAATAGTTTCTGGCCAAGGCTGGCCCCAGCCTTGTGTTTTTCTTGCTGTTGTTTGTATGATCCAGGCAGGGTTCTGGAGATGGATTGGTGGGGGGTTCAGTTCCCTGAGTTGGATGACCCAATGAGTGTGCATAGAACCCTGGGCCACCACATGACTGGGGGGAGGGTGAATCCAGAGTAACTGTCTCCTGTCTCTTCTCAGGGACAGCGGAGCTGCTTCCCCTCTCCGCTTTCCTGTCACCTACAGAGCCTGGAAGAGCCCCGGGGACAGAGAACTGTGCTGGACAGGGGCAGGGGCCTCCTGCAAGGGCTGGCCCCCATGGTAGGTCCTCTTGGCAGGCTTCGGGAGGCCCTCCCACTCGCTGTCCTCAGCTCCCAGGCTGCATCCCTTCCCTTCTGCCTCTCACCCCCACGTAATCCTGACTCCGACCTGTGGGCCTGTAGCATGTCAGTTTCTCAATGTAGTCTGCAGAAGAAGCTGAGATATATCTCTAGGGATTCTCTCCTCAGGGGTCTCCCTCTGCCACCACCCAGCGCCTCCTCTAAGCCACCTTGCACAACCAGCCTGCCTGCTACTCCTTAGCTGGTGGACGTGGTCCATGGGACCAGCCCCAGCAAGCTGGGAGTTAGGGAAGTTCCAGGAAAGGTAGATGGCTGGGCCGTGGAGACAGTCCTCTGCCCTTGAAGGAAAGGAGACCAGAGTAGGAGCTAATGGTGACAGTGAGGATGAACCCATTACTTGCCCCAGCCCAAACAGGCTGAGCCCTTAGACAGATCACCTAGCCAGGGCCCAAATCCGCCGGATAGTCCAGGATGTTGGTCGTTCTTGGCTGTGCCTCCTGTGGCCCGGAGGGTTGCATGAAATCCTCCATCTGACAGCGCGCACTGAAATATGTGGGCCGAGCAGATGCAGGGCGCAGGGCTCACTGTGGCCCCTCTTCAGGAGGACAGCCCCAGCACAGCCTACATCTCACCGCCCTGGTGCAGCTGGTGAAGGAGATCCCAGAGTTCTTGTTCAGAGAAGTCAAGGGCACTGAAGATAGCCCTGAGAGCCGGGGAGCCAGCCTGGATGGAGAGCGAGCGAGCCCCAGGGGTAAGTCAGACACATGCGTGTCCTGTGGGCACAGACAGCCTCTCCACCCCCCATATGCACCATAGCTACATACCTACCTGAGCTGGAAGCCCCCGCCCCCAGGAGCTGAGACTGTTGCTAGTCCCGCCCTCTCAGCTCCTGGGGCAGGGAGAAAGGAGCAGCAGGGCTTTCTCATGGTGGTGTCTGCACAGAACATTCTGTGTTCCCTCCTGTCACCTCCTGCTCTGCAGGGAAGGCCAGCAGCATGAGTGTCACTGTTATACAGAGGAGGGAATGAGGGAGGCGAAAGCTTGGTCTGGGTGGCCAGTGGGACCCTGATGCCTCTTGCCGTCGCATACTCTTCCCACCTCATGAGCTGGGTGTCCTTCCCCAGTCCCCACTCGGCCAAGATCCCATCTCCCCCTGCAGTCTGCCCTTTGACCCCCTCAGTAGACAGTGAATAAAAGAAGAAGGGGACGGAGGCTCAGCCAGACGCAGGTCTGACACACCCAGGATTCTCTAGGCTTGGGAGCGCAGCGGCGACACCCATAGGCCACTGAGTCCAGTCCTGTAGGTGGAGCGTGTCACAGAAGGACCCAGTCTGTGTCTTCCTCTCCCAGCAGCAGCTGTGGCGGCAGAGGCCTGCCCTCCTCCAGGCGTGCTCACCTGCCTTCCGGAGAGGCCCCCGGAGAGGCCCCCGAGCCGCACGGGCCTGGCCACCACACCCGCAGGCAGCTCCTCTTCCAGTGGCCCTCCAGGAGAGCCGGGGCAGGGAAGCCCCCTCCCCATCAGTGAGTCTGACTAGTAGAACAGCGGCAGCTTACATTGTAAAACTCCAACCCTGGACTCTGGGGTCTTGCACCTGTGCACTCTTTGTTCTGGTTTCTAGTACTTGGTCTCTGGGATGAGACGATACGCTTGGCCTCTGGTGTGCAGACCAAAGAGGCTAAATGCTTAGTCCCCAGGGGGCCTCCCAGCAGCCCTGACTGCTGGGGACCTCATGTATCTGCTCAGGGAGCCTCGCAGCAGCCCTGACTGCTGAGGACCTCATGTATCTGCTCAGGGCGTCCTGGCTGATTCTGACATGCAGGCCTGGAAGGGAACTGGCCTGTGTGCCCGTGGCTTTATTTAGCCTCAGATGTTCTCATCAAAGCAGCGTGGCTGCACAGCAGGCAAGGTAGCCAGTAGGATGTATTTGGGGTTTCATTTTATCTTGAAAAATTCTTGCAAAGTTTAGATTTGTCTAAATATATTTTTATTAAAAACATTTGAGCTAGGCATGGTGGCTCATACCTGTAATCCTAGCTACTAGAAAGGTGGAGAACGGAGAGGATCATGGTTCCTAGACCAACTCCAGGCAGAGAAGTTAGCAAGGCTCCCATCTCAATAAGTAGGCTTCGCAACAGTGTCACATGCCTTTAATCCTAGCTGTGTAGGAGGATCATGGTCCAAAGCCAGCCTAGCTTCAGAGACCCTATCTGAAAAATAACCTATAGCTAACAGGGTTAGAGATATGGCTTAAGTGGTAGAGCACCAGCCTAGCAAGTTCAAGGCCATGGTGTTCAATCTCCAGTACCATATGGACTAAAATCGGTATTCCCAATGATCTTACCCTCCTTAGCCCGTGGCTTCACATGTCATCTTGTCCATATGCTCAGGGTTCTGCAGACACTGTTTGAGAACTGTGAATGTAAGATTGTGGCTGAGGCCAGACATTGCTTGCTGGGCCAGAGGCAGCCAGAGAACTATCTTGGAGTCTGCAGTTAAACTGGATGCACACAGAGCAAGGCCCCCAGCCCTCCCGAAAAGTCCTCTGAAGCCAGCCTCACATGGGCCCAAGTTCCCCAGACTTGGCTTCACCCGAAGATGTTGGGATACCAGAGAGGGCCATCATCATGGAGACCAGATCCTGGGTGACCAGCATCTGGAGCCCAGGCTAGAAGGTCGTCTTTTTTTTTTTTTTTTGCTTCTGGTCCTGGTACTTAAACTCAGGGCCTGAGCTCTGCCCCATAGCTTTTTTGCTCAATGCTGCCACTCTACCACTTGAGCCACAGCTCCACTTCCAGCTTTTTACTAATTATTTGGCACTAAAAGTCTCATGGACTTCCTGCTCAGGCTGACTTTGAACCTTGATCCTTAGGTTTCAGCCTCCCAAATAACTAGGATTTCAGGCATGAGCCCTTCCTTGTTTTCTATAATAGGAACTGCTGACAAACCTCAGCCTCCTGGAAAGGAAGGCCCGGGTGAGGAGCCCAGCCCTCCCACCTGTAGCCCTAGCCATAGGAAGGGCCAGAGAAGACCGGAGAGAGGGACTGCGGGGCCAGGTGAGCTGTCCAAAGCGTGCCCTGGGGCTGCGTGGGGCAGCAGTGGGGGGCAGGTGGGGGGAGGAGGGTAGCTCACGCAAGGACGTGCCACTGTCCATCGGAGCCCCCTCCCCCCCAGCCCAATAAGGCAAGCCTTGGAAGACCCCAGGGACTGCTGAACACTCCGGCTGTCCCTTAGGACTCGCCTTACCTCACACAGGAATCTCTCCCAGAAACAGCCCCTTGCAAGGCCTCGTCAACTGCCTCAAAGAAATGCTCGTGCCTGCGCCCCAGCGCACTGAGGCAGCTCTGAGCTTGCAGCCTTCCCTCCCTCCCCGGAGTGCTTCCAAGCACACACAGGTGGAGATGCCCGGGTGCCCGCCCTGGCCAGGTGAGTCCCTGGGTACCTGGCCTCCTCAGGCTGAGGCCCTGAAGCCCCTAGGAATGTGGCTCTCTCTGCACCTCACTGCGTCCCTCGGGAACCTCTGTGCTCTGGTGACTCTTACAAAGACTGCATTTAGATCAAGAGGGAACGCAAACTCCCATGCACCCGGGTTCCCCTGTGTTCTTTACTCTTCCGATGTGGGACTCGGAGGAAAGCCGTGGCACTCACGTGTCATTTCCTGTTGACACTGGGTGAAGTGTGAGAGCGGCCCCTCGGGCTTAGACAGTCCACGGGGAGGGAACACCACCCGGAGTTGCTAAAGCCTGCTGAAGCTCTGCGCCATGTTCGGGATATGCCGAAACCCATTCAGGGTTAGGGTACTCTTCACCGAGTGAGCGCCTGCCAGGCATGTGGCGGTGCCAGACCCTCCTGCTGGAAGGTCACTTGTGCTCAGGACCTGGGAGCCATGCAGGGCATTGATGCCAGCCCATCCCCCACCCCTCAGGTGATGTCCACGCACGCTGGAGGTGCACTTTGCGCCCTGCCCCTTTGCGCCAGCTTCTAGGAAGTGTGTAGAAGGCATATTGAAACCGGGCACTGAGCAGACAGTGGCTCACACAAGCTTAGGGCCTGGGAAGGTTCCCATGTCTGGATTTCTGTACACTCCTCACTGCATGCGGGTGCTCCTCGTCCCTGGGCACAGCGGGTAACGTGCGCCTCTTCCCATAGTGAAGACCGAGGCGGCCTCGGCGGCGGAGGACTGTCCCCTCAAGGGTCTGCTCAACTGTCTGAGGGACATCCCAGAAGCCCGGCACCAGCGTCCCAGCCCCTCAGCACCAGGGGAGCCATGGCCACCTGAGGACACAGGGGCCTGGAAGAGGAATTCTGGAGGTAAAGGTCATTTGCTGGGCTGAGAGGATGCACGATCATCTGTTTGGTCTTCTGCTTCAAGCAGGGCTGTGAGTGACCCCTGGTGACAGACTCTTAGCCCTGGCCCCTGGGTATGGCTCACAGGAACCAAGTGTTGGAGGTGATTGCTGTGTACATGATGGAAAGCCATGTGCCTCATTGTTGTCCAGAGTGTTTCTTAGAGTGGGTGGTGAAAGTTCTAGAAGGAAGGAAAGGATATTAGAGAGGGAAAACACCAAGAAATAGAAAAAAATTGTAGCCCAGTTGACCTTTCAGCTCTCATTGTGGCGTGGGGTTCCCCCCACATGTGTGTGGGCCTGATGGGGTCCCTAGGACCTGGGTTCCCCACGAATGTTCACACTGGGTTCACATTTCCATTCCTGTCAGCTCCCCGAGGCACTGAGCTCAGAACACAGCCTGAAGCAGTGCGCTTGAGCAGCCTGCTGGCCGAGGGCTGCTGGCGTGCTAATTAACACCTCTTAGAAAGCTCTGGAGCACCCCTAGAGGGGCTTGGGTGGAAGGAAGAGCGATTGGGGTTACAGAAATGACAGGGCCGAAGCGGCCTCCAGGCCTGCAAATCTGGCTTCCCAGTTCCCGAGGCTGACTTCCCATAGGTCACAGACGCCTCCACACCCCTCCGCCCCGCCCCGGCCCCGGCGGCACATTCCCTGTGGTGAAGGTGGAGGACAGCTGGAGCCAGAGCCCCCTGGCGCCTGCATCATGCCAGCTCAGCAGGCAAGGCTACAGTTCCTCCACCGCTGCAGACACCAGAAGGGGCCGAGTACCCCTGTGGGGCGCCGCAAGTCAAGGTGAGTCCTGGGTTGTTCATCCTCCTCTTCGGTGGGAACCAGGCCTGAGGTGCCAGCATATACAAAGAAGCTCCTGCCTGGCCTTTGAGCAAAGAGCCAGGCCCTGCCGTGGCTCCTGAGGTCATCCTCGGGCCTGGCCCTTGCCCAGACAGCCTCTGGCTTGAGGACCTTCGTTTGTATTGAGGTGCTAGCAGAGGAAGCTGTCCATGACTCTTCCGGCTCTTCCTTGGGAGGTGGGGACAGCTTTCTTTAATCCCTCTGAAGAAGCAGAGAACAGGTCAAAAGTCCCCCAGGGGGATTTCCTCCTGGCGGGTCCCCGCCAGCTTAGTGCAGGACTTGGCACCTCTGCAGATGGCAAGCTGTGACCGGCCGACTGGCTGGGGGTCGAGCTGGAGCCTGGTAGGCCAGCCAGGGTCCTGCAAGAGAGGGTAACAGGGCAGCTTTTCCTGTCCCAGCCAGCAGGGCCTCAAGCTCACCCCTGGAAGCGCTGGAGGCCTGCCTGAAGGGCATTTCCTCAGCTGGACCATCACCTCCCCAGCTGGTGGCTGCTTCTTGGTCCCGGAGCCCCCAGCCAGGAGATGCTGGGTCTCACAAGCCAGAGCTTCAGCCTCAAGGATCGCACAGTGAAGGTATAAGAACCCAGGGTCTTTGTGCTGGCAGTGGAGAGGTCGGGTCTCCTGGGGTGTATACTGTTCTTCCTCCAGTCAGCTCCCTGAGTTTGATGAAGGAAGTTGAAGGGTACCCACCCTCTACCCCTCTCTGAGATCGCTTCTCTGGAGTCCTGAGACAAATTGTGTGTGGGGGTTGGGGTTTTCCATCAGTGGCATGGAGAGCCCCAGTACTTTGGAGCTGAGTCTCTGGGCGCCATCCACTCCCGGGCCCAGCGACCCCTTCTCCAGTGGGCTCTCTGTGACACAGCTCTGCTGCTCCCTGCAGAGGCCACGACGGAGCCCCTGCCACCGCTGGGCCTGCGGGGCTGTGTGAGAGAGGGCCCCAGCCAGCCCCCCGGCCCCCAGGGCACTCCCACCAGCTTCTCCTCCACCAGCAGCATTGACGGCGACCTAGACTTCGGGAGCCCTGGGTACAGCCAGGGCCAGCAGTTTGGAAAAGGTAAGCTGGGCTAAGCTGAGGTTGGAGTCCCTCTGGGGAAGGATGGGAGGCCTTGTCTCTGGCAGGCTGCCATGCCCGCTGTCAGAAGTGGAGGTGGGGATGCTGAGGCAGGAGCAAATGCAGATTTGTCTTGGGCTGGGTGACTTGGTTCAGATGCGAGGACAGCTGAGGTCTCTTAACATGTCCTTTTTGCACTGTCCCAGCCATAGAGAAGTGCCTGTAGTACAAAACTGACCTCTGACCTAGAGAGACCACCATCAGCAATGCGCTTGGTGACTTGTGCCCCCTTGGATCCTACCCTGGGGAGCTGTTCCTGGGGACCTTGGGGCCTTACAGGACTCTTCAGCCTCCCCTCTGATCTTTTTTCCCCACCCGAACAATCTAGTCCGTCTGGTCCCACGGGTGGGTGCCTGTACACCTGCCTTCATTTGTGCCCTGGCACATCCTTTGGCACTGGAAAGGCCTGGGCCACGGCCAGGACTCTGGCTGGGCCAGTGAGGCCCAGAGAGCCAGCCTCAAGGCTTCTTCCTGCCTGAGTCCTGAAAGGGAGCCCCTCCCCCCAAACACAATTGACTCATCTTTCAGTTTGGGGGGAGAGTTAGATGTATCAGAGTTTGAACTCAGAGCCTCATGCTTGCAATCCTTCATGCTCTACCCCTTGAGTCATGCCTCCAGGCCTACTTTTTGCAGGTTATTTTGCAACTTTTCTGTCCAGGCTGGCCTTGAACCGAAATCCTGCAGATCTGAGCCTCCTGAGAAGCTAGGATTGTAGGCATAAGGCTCTGGCTCCTGACTCATTTCTGGTTTTTAAGAAGCAATAGAATCACATGACTGCTCAGAAACTACAAAAGATTATGTGACGTCTCCTTGCTTCCCCTACGGGCAGCCCTGTCCTGTGCCAGCCGCCGCTCCACTTATCTCCTTGCAGAGACGCCTGCCTGTGGTCAGGCTCCGTCTCCTCACAGATGGGCACGTACCAGACACATCCCCGCCTCACTTTTTGTTTTAAGCCTTTGTCCTTGACATCTTTCTACATTTGGTTTTCATAGTCCTTGGCCGCTACACAGAGGTTGGAGCCCCTGCGCTGGCACAGAGTGCGGGGTCACTTCCTTTTCATGTGGCTTCTGTGGATGGGCTTGGTGTTGCCAGTGACCCAAACTGCAGGAGACTCCACACTGCCTCTAGAAGCTTCCAGGTGGGCCCCCAGAACCTAGCAGCTCCCTGTGGCAGTCTCTGGCTTCCAGCCTCTGCTGGGCTCCCAGTTGTCAGCAGACGCCCCAGGAAGGAATGTGGCCAGTGCTGTCTGCTCCCCTGGGAAGGGCTCTGCTCTCCGGAAGTGCAGCTGAGCCCGTTCCTGTTGTTTGTTTGCACTGCGCACCCCCACTGGAAATGCAATTTATGCAGTGAGTTTGGTTTTCTTCTCTCTGGCCTTCTGTGGACGAATGTCCTCCTGAGGGTGCGGAAGCCTGCAGTGGTGTGCTCCGTGGAGGGCACATCTGCTTGTCAGGCTGTCCTGTGTGCTAGACAAGCCATGTCACCCTCACCATGGTGGCAGCCGGATGTCCTGAGGGACTGGAACCCCACCCTTGGTGAGGCCCTCCTCACCCTGCCCCCAGCATCCATCCCCAGGCAGTTTTCTGTAGATGGCTGGCACATGCCCTGCTTCTTCCTGTCCAGCCCAAGGAGAGCCACTCCAGAGTCAGAGCTGACAGTTGTTTGGGGCCAGGTCTCCACTGCATCCCTCAGCCACCATGATGGGTCCAGTGCTCTGCCTCCTCTTGCTGCCCTGGACCTGGCTGAGTGCAAGGCTCCCGTGGTCCACATAGCCTGACCTGCAGCCTTCCATGACTACCATGCTTGATCTTCACAGGATACCTGCCAGGAAGTTCCCCGCTCCAGAGCCTAGAGAACTGTCTCAGAGAGATCCCCGTGCCCAGGCTGCAGCCTGCCTGGTCCTCTTCCTCTGCCGTGGACAGGGGACTGAGGAGGACGGAGCCCAGGAACTGGACAGCAGACAAGGAAGGTAACTCAGTGGGGCCACAGATGCCCGTGATTTGGACTGGATAGCTCCCATTCAGCACCCTGGGCACTGCTGTGCTCCCAGCATCTCGTGGACATATTTATACATGAGCCAAGAAGGTGCTCCAGAAACTGCACTGGGAGGAGATTTTTATCAGGGTCAGAAAGCCAGATAGACTGTGCAGCACACATTTAGACTCACTGGCAAGTGGGTGCACCACCATCTGCTCTCCACCACCCAGCCCCGAGACGGGGCCCCGTGTCTTCATCCTGGCCATCTCAGTCCTGGTGCGAGACCTCAGACACTGAGCTGCACAGCTCCCGGGTTGGGAATAGAGATCTTGGAGGATTTGGACCGCAGAGCAGGCCATTCCCAGGCCTGACACTTGGCTGTGGTAGAAATTCTCTGTACATTCCTCTGTGGCCCCACAGGGTTGACAGGCCTCTTGGCATCTCATTAAAACAGGACTAAGGGCTGAGGCCTGTGAGCCAGCCCGTCTCAGGCAGGGTGGGGGAGAAGTGCACACCAGGAGCCTCCGTCTAGCCAGCCCGCAGGCCTTCACCTCCAGCTGCATGACCACCTGCCACCAGCGAAGGCCCAAAGATCCAGGGCCCCCCAGGCCAGGCCCGTGGAGGTGGTTGCAAGATGGTGAGCTGCCCCTGGTATTTACTGGCACTTTTTTTTCCTCCTTTCCCTTCTCTGGGTATTTCCGTCCCTTCCCTGCCTCACATTGCTTGCAGAGAGGGTAGAAGTGGGGAACCATATAAGCCAGGGGAGGTTGAGAGTACAAAGTCAGACAGGAAGGGGCAGGAAGAACAGTGCTTTTTCTATCCATTGGCTCTCTCCAGAGGAACCCCGCCCACTGCAGTTGTAGACAGCCCTAGCTGTGTGCCTTCCCAGGTCCTTGCAGGGGGGGCAGGATGATGGCATAGCTTATCCCCAGTTTCTAGCCCTCCTACAGGCAACAATTGGCCCTCACCAACCTGCTGCTCCCAGCATCATGCTGGGCACAGGGTGGGTCTGTGGCAAGGGGTCGGGGGTGGAAGGTAGAGGGAGCTGCTGGGGGAGTAGGAGGAGCTGCTGGGGGCCGGGGGTGCATAGAGGGAGTTGCTGGGGGGGGTGGAGGTCACTTCTGAGGTGGGGGGGTACAGGGAGCTTCTGGGGTGTGGGGAGCTGCTGCCTTGCCTAGAAGATGGGGATTTAGCTAGAACTTGGCCACTAACTTGACCTCTCCTGAGGTCTTGAAAGTTCCTCAGCTTACTTTCCAAAGCATCCAGGGACTTGGCCAGGCTCTGACCTTTCTTCTATGTGGAAAGTGAGCCATTACGGCCTACCAGAACCTGGGCTAAGCCAAAAGGGGACCGGCCTCTGTGCCCAGTCTCTGAGACAGAGTCCTGGCTGCCATTGGGTAATGACTCCCTCCGGGGATGGCAGCCTTCAGGGATGGACAAGGGCTTTTGTCATTGACACAGGGACAGCCACCATGCCCTCCCCCCTGCACTGCCTGGAGAGCTCTCTGAAGGGGATCTTGCCTATGAAGCCCTTGCGCTTTACCTGCTTGGCCGGCCCTGGCCCCAGCCCCAGCCCCTGCTCTAGCTTGAGTCTCAGCAGCTCTGATGGAGAAGACCTGAGGCTGGATCCCGAGCTCTGGCAGCCACCCCTCCAGGGTAAGCCTGCTGGGAAGGGCGGGGTGGGGGGGGTGGCTCTGAGAAGAGTCAGCACGCTGAGACCAGCTCATTTTTGATGCAGAGAGAGACCACCTTCCCAACTGCAAGCGTCCTCTCTCTGTGTCCCCTGCCCCGGGAGGGTCTCCCAGAGGTGGCGGCGGCGGCAGCGGCAGCGGCAGCAGCAGCAGCAGCTGTGTTGGGGGACACCCTGAGGGATCACAGCCCAAGGACTATGGCAGCCTCAGTACAGGTGAGCCTGCGGTCTTCCTGGGCAGGCAGCTGCACATCTCCAGAGGGCCGGGAAGCCAGATAGTTCTCTGAACCCTACCGGTCACCGCCTGGCTCTCACCAGAAAGCATTCTCCAGTCATTGTACTTTAGTTTCCTGTAAAGCAGCTGAGCCAGAGCCTGGGTCCCTGAGCCAGGGGCTCAGAACAGGGCTTGTTAGTGTTTCTATGGGGAAATCTTGGCAAACCACCTAATATATATACCACGCCATATGCACTTATTAATATATGTGTGTATGCAGTATTGCTATGTAACATTTTTTTAAGCTTGGCAGTCAATAAAAGAAATAGCAAAAGTGGGAATTCTCAGTGCCAGAGCACTGGCCTTGCATGCACAAGTCCTCAACACCACTGGCCAGGCTGCCCCAGGCCGCCTCGTTTCTCCATCACGCTGAGATCCAGTGGTTTTTTTGTTTTTTTTTTTTTTTTCCCAACAGGAAAAACAGAAGAGGGGACAATGGAGGTCAGGTCCCTGACACCCAGGGGAGAAGAGGGTACAGAGAGCCCTGGCCATCCTGGCCCTCTGTGCAGTGGTGGAGAAGTAGGTAGGGGCCAGGGAAGTGGTCAAGGGAGGACGGCGGCATTCCCAGGCCTGGACCCCAGGCTGTGCCATGCTTTCCCATGCCCTCTGGGGCCTAGTGGAACATGGTATACACAGGGCACACATGGCCCAGCAAGAGCAGTTAGGCTCCTTACATCTTGCATCTCATTTAATTACTGCTTAAAAATGGGAGGTAGATATATTTTTGAAGCCACCTTAAGAATATCCTTGCAGGCTGGGAAGTTGGCTCAGTGGTAGAGTGCTTACCTAGCATGCATGAAGCCCTGGGTTTGGTTCCTTAGTACCACATAAATGGAAAAAGCTGGAAGTGGTGCTGTGGCTCAGGTGGTAGAGTGAGCCTAGCCTTGAGCGAAAGAAGCCCAGGGACAGTGCCCAGGCCCTGAGTTCAAGCCCCAGGACTGGCATCAATAAAAAATAAGAATGTCCTCATGTGGGGGGGGGGGGCTGTGCAGAGCAATACATGTCCATGTCCCAGGCTAACCATGCTCTTCCCGCAGAGGCCCCTGGGCATTCTAGTCCTGCCCCACGGCCAGAGGAACACCCTGTGCCCAGGGAGGAGGAAGAGCCCAAGGGCCGGGAACCAGGACATGGAACACCCCACACTGCAGGTGAGCTGGGGGCTGCGCCGCCCCACTGTGCAGAGCCGAGCCTGGGTCCCCAGCCTGGGGAAGGACATACCCTTCAAGCTCATCGTCTGGGTCATGGCAGGAAGTCAGTGCCACTGCACGATGCTGCTTGGGTACATGTTTCACTTTGGTGCTTGTCACAGAAATCACAGGAACTTTCCCCAAATCCCAAGTTGGGAGTTTGAAGGAACTTTAGAAAATCAATGGTAGCTCATGCCTGTAGTCCTAGCGACTCAGAAGAGACTGAGATCTGAGGATCAGAGTTTGAAGCCAGCCTGGGCAGGAAAGTTCTTGAGGCTACCAAGAAGCTAGAAATGGAGCAGTGGCTCAAGTGGTAGAGTGCTAGCCTTGATTAAAAGAAGCTCAAGGACTTCCCAGGACACACACACACACAGAGACACACATACACACACACACACACTGAGAGTGCTAGCCTTGATTAAAAGAAGCTCAAGGACTTCCCAGGACACACACACACACACACACACACTAACTGAGAGTGCTAGCCTTGATTAAAAGAAGCTCAAGGACTTCCCAGGACACACACACACACACATACACACTAACTGAGAGTGCTAGCCTTGATTAAAAGAAGCTCAAGGACTTCCCAGGACACACACACACACACACACACTAACTGAGGGAATCAAACCTAGTACAGTTGAATAACCTGGCCAAGGCCATCCAGAGCACTTTGGTTTTATGTCACACCTTGTTCTGTGGTGCCACCATGGAGACAAGCAGAGGGCAAGGCTCTGGTGCTCTCAGTGCCTGGCCTCAACAGTAGGGGGAGAGAGAGAGAGAGAGAGTGTGTGTGTGTGTGTGTGTGTGTGTGTTAGGGGGAGTGTGTGTGTGTGTGTGTGTGTGTTTGAGCTCTGGCTCCCCTCAAGCGTCAGGCTTCTGTTAGGAGCTCTAACCTGAGGTGAGCCTTACCCCTGAGATGCTTTATTTTGTATTTTGGCTTTATTTTTTGTTTTCTTTTTGAGAGAAAGTCTTTCTGTATTAGCTTAGGCTGACCTTGAACTCCTGATGCTCTGCATCAACTTCAGATCCTCAACTCATTAGAGAAATTGTCCACACAGAGCTGGGCCACTTGGGCCACTACCTTTCCCTCCCATCTGCATCCCCAGAGGTGTTGCTAAATTAGACAAGGTCAGAACTCCTCCATGGCTCAGGGAAATGGGAAAACAGATTTCTCTGCCCAGTCTGGGATCTGTGAGTTAAGACTGGCAGGGGCCAAGTCCTTCCTGGGTGGCTTGCCTAGCAGTAAGATCAATTCAGTTATCATTTTAAAGTAACTTACATGTAGCCAGGCACCAGTGGCTCAGGCCTGTAATCCTAGCTTCTCAGGAGGTTGAGATCTGAGGATCATGGTTCAAAGTCAGCCCAGGCAGGAAAGTCAATGAACCTCTTACCTACAATAAACCACCAGAACACTGAAGTAGCATTGTGGCTCAAGTGGTAGAGCGCTCGCTTTGTGCTGAAGAGTTAAGGGATAGCTCCAGGCCCAGAGTTCAGGCCCCATGACAGACCAAAAAAAAAGGGGGTGGGGGGAGCTTACATGTCTAAATGTGGTCAGGCATGTAAGCCAATGCTCAGGAAGCTGAGACAAACGGGTTGAGATTTTGAGGCCAACCTGACCTGAATGAGGGAGTTAGGAGAGGTAGAGCTCTATGATTTGATTGTAGCCAAGAAGTGGTAGCCCCAAGGAAACTCGTGGCTTGTCACCTAGGTAAACAGCTGGGCCTTGTGCACTGGCTGTCTGCTCTGGGCAGATACTCTGGGGGTTATTCAGTCCCAGTGCTAGAACAAGGACTCACTGCTTCTTTTCCTGGGAGGTAGGAAACCACCATCTTGGGAAAGGTAGCTGGGTCTCCATGAAAATCCCCTCTGGCTGAGGAGCCCACTGGTGTGGTGAATGTGAAAACCAGCCAGTTTTGATGTCACAAGGGCAGGCAGCAGTGTTCTCAAGTTTGTGTCACTTCCCATCCCCAGTTCTGTAGAAACAGACTTGGGGTGACAGGAGACTGACCACACTAGATGAGGGGTCTCCTTAGGTTGGGGGAGAGAAGGTCTTTGTAGCCTAAGCACTCTTATCGGCCCTTGCTCTGGTTTCAGATCCATCCCAAGGTGGGCTGCTGTCCAAGGACCCCCTGGAACCTCCCAGCAAGTCCCCCCCACCCACAGCTGCCCCTCACCTGCCACCGTGTCCCTGTGGGGGGGCCCTGCAGCAGGAACTGCGCAGCCTCGGTGCTGCTCTCGAGGCGAAGCTGGACCGGCTGGCTGCGGCCCTCGTGGGCCTGACTCAGGAAGTGGCCACCATGAGGACCCAGGTGGACCGGCTGGGGAGGCGGCCCCGGGGCCCCGGGCCCAAGCCGTGGGCCCTTCCTCGGGGACCTCGGTGGGCCAGTGGTCTGGGTCACAGACACCTGCCCTACTGGAGACAGAAGGGCCCCACCAGGCCTAAACCAAAGATCTTGCGGGCCCAGGTGGAAGGTGGCAGGGCCGCTGACCTCCAGGGCCTCTCCAGAGGGAAGGCCTACCTGGTGCCTCCACCGCCTCCAGCTGCTCCTCCCACAGAACCTTCCAGGCCCAGCGTCAGCCCAGCCCAGCAGCCCCCCTCTTCAGTACCCAGCTGCCACGCTGTGTTGCCTGGGCAGCCCCTCCTTGGACACACTGGGCGCCACCAGAGCCCTCCCCCACCCTTAGTACCTGCTGCCTTGTCTCCTCGGGTGACCCCCCCTGCAACCAGTTCGGATACAGACCCGCTGACTTCAGGGGTGTCACCGATCAGCACCCCAAACAAGCCCAAGGAGCCAAGCAGCCTTGTGGGAGGAGGCCTCCGGGAGGACCTGTGGGGTGGTGAACACCGGGACCCACGGTGGGGGGCCCATTAGCTACTCGCTGTCAGTCAGCTCGTCTTCCTGGCGTGCCCGCCCGGGCAGCCTCTCTGTCCGGTCCCATCTCCCGCTGGGCCCTCAGCCCTGCTCCTGGACGCACAGACCCATGGTGGTGTCTGCGCTCAAGGCCCGGTGGGGATGTTTCTAGCCACACCTCAGGGTTTCTTGGCTCAGGGTCGGCCAGACGCTCCCCTGACCTCTCCAGAACCGTCCCGCGGTGGGCCAGTGGCTTGCGCAGCATGGCCATGAGGCACCCCCCACCAGCCCCTCCTGATCGCCAGCACAGATCTCCTTTTGGAAGAACCAATCTGGTTTAAACCGGATTTACTCACACGGATTCTAGAACATGAGCTACTAAAGAAAGGCCCTTGGCTCCCATCCAGTAGTGCTCAGCGGGACCCACATGGGGGGCGTGGCTGACATGATTGTGTCACCAGTACTGCCAGAGCGCGCGTGCACGCCGCACACACACACACACACACGCGCATCCCATTGTACTTGCCTCCCAGGGCTATGTATAAAGTGCTACCGATTTAACCAGCATGGGTGGCTTAAACTAGAAGCTCCAAATGAAGGTCCTGTGGGGGTTGGTCCTGCCTGTGGGCTCTGGGGAGGGGTCTGCCTCAGGCCTTTGTGCCCCTAGGCAGCTAGCTTCATATTCACATTTATCTCCAAAGCCCCCTTGGGACAGGGCACTGGTTTTATTGGATAGGGCCCACTGGTAAGCTCGTTCAAACCATGTGAAGACCCCTGCCCCCTTCCCCCTCTGCAGGGCGAGGGCTTCGGCATATCAGCACACAGGGCCCCGTTCACATGGCACTGCCCAGGCTGCTTCCGCCCTGATGAGATCCATGCCTGCCCCCAGCCCCACGTCCAGTGTCTGGTGTGCATTGCGGCGGGTCTGCCCTTTTAACGCACTTGTCCTTACCAGAGCCGGAGCTCAACCTCTTGGGTTGATTGAATTCCCTATTTAATCAGGAATTTTCTGAACTGTGCCTATACGTTTGGTACCTGAGGAAGGCCTGGCGTGCTGTGCACTGCGTGGTTTAGCCTTGCCACCAGGACCCTGGGGGGGGGGGGGCAGTGCTGGTGCCAGGACCGCATAAGCAGCCCCTGTGGCTGCTTTGCCCAGGCCTCCCCCAAATCAAGAGTTGTGAGACTGCTGGGCCTCCATCAGTGTGAGTGGGAAGCCCTCCCAAAGCCTGGGGACTGCAGCACGGCACACGCAAGTGTTTTCAGGACTAGGTTTCAGAGAAGGGTCCACTGGATAGTCATGATTTGTGGGATGTGTGTGTGTGTGTCTGTGCGCGCACATTAGTTGGTACTGGGTCTTGAACAGACTGCACTCTCCTGTGATGGTTTTGCTCAAGGCTGGCACTCTACCACTTGAGCCACACCTCTACTTAGGAATGTTTCCAATCGTGTGAGCAGGATGCTGACTGAAGCAAATGACCCGGCCTGAAGCTGGGTGGTGGCAAAGAACAGAAGGGCAAACTCTCCAACCCTGGAGAGCTGAGCAGGTCTAGCTCCTTTTCCAGCTGAGCTGGGAGGGCAGTGCTTGGCTCCTTCCATGTCAGTAGGAAGACTCAGGGTGTAGGCAGCCGTGGCCAGGAGGAAAGTTCTGTTCGCCAGGCCTGGATCCTCCAGTTGTACTGTATGACAGAGCAGTTGGGCTCCAGGCTCAACAGATGGCAGGTGCATGCCCCGTGCTTGCTGGTACAAGTGAGCAAACCAGCCCAGGCTCACACAGCTTTCAGCCAGCGGGGCTAGGAAGTAGCCAGACCCCTCCTCAGGGCTGCCAGCTGGTGGTGTGGCGCAGACATCACCCTACCTGTGCCTGCTTGAAATAAACAAGGCGACAGCCAAGCCCGGCCTGGGCAAGCCACAGCGAGTGGGACCGGGCAGTGCGCTCAAGGAGAAGCTCAAGGTTGTGGAATCTGAATACATAAGTGGTAAGTTCCGTGATGGCTTGCCTCATTCTGCATAGGCCCACAGGTACCCCAGCTGTTAGCTGCAGAGGTTGTGGAGCCACAGACTTGGTGATAAGTCTGCAGTGCAGGGGTTGGTGCCGTAGCTAGCTCCTGTACAGGGTTGTTTTGAAGAGGAGGTGGGGCTGCTTTGATTTGGGAGCATTTTTCATTTTTTTCTTTTAGATTTTTTTTTTTTTAGCATTTCCTGAAGTATTCTTTTCATGTTTTTTTCTTATTTAAAAAACATTATAAAGGTGATGTACAGAGAAGGGTTACAGTTACCTAAGTCGGGTAAAGAGCCATCCTTCCCTCACTCTCCCAGTTTTTCCTTCCCATCCCCCCATGTCATAGTTCATTTCCCACTAATGTCTAGTAAGGACCACTGCTGCATTTGTTCACCCTCTGTCCCCCCACTTCTGTGCCCACGCTTGCCCTCCCAGAGACAGATTAGCAAGACAAATAACAAAAACCCTCCATTTCCTGGAGTTCATTTCAATAAATATTTTATATGATTAGAAGTACATAGGCATTGTACCTTTGTGGGGGAACTTCTTAAATGAACAAAAGGCCTAGAATTTGGGGAGCCCAGAAGGTCCTGAGTCTGCCTGCCACCATCCTGGAAACTGGCCACAGGCCCGGCCTGAGTGCCAGTCTTCCCTCCATCCCCACCTAGCTGCCCTGGGTCAGCCTGAGGCCGGGTGCGAGGCTCACCCAAACCCTGCTTCCGATGTGCGTGGGCTTCCCAGCCCCCATGGTCCCGAGGCCACTGCTGAGCCTTCCGACACGGGTGGGGCCGGTGCTAAATTACATCAAGGAGCTTGGATCCCTAAAGGAGCCAGGCCTGGGCCAGACTTCCCCCCCTCCCCCCTTGCTACTGGGGTTTGAACCCAGGCCCACACTTGCTGGGCAAGTGCTCTACCACTTGAGCCTCGCCTCCAGTCCTTAACACTTACTCTTGACCTTTTGATGTCTTTGTATTTTAGACGTTGCTCCCCTAAGTATCCCATCATTCATCTGACAGATTCACCCATCTTAAAGTGACGGGATCAGGCTGGGCACAGGTGTCTCACGCCTATAATCCTAGCTACTCTGGAAGCTGAGATCTGAGGATTGTGGTTCAAAGCCAGCCCAGGCAGGAAAGTCTGTGAGATTCTTACGTTCAATTTACTGGAAGTGGAGCTTTGGATTAATAGGGAAGAGAACTACCCTTGAGCAAAAACTAGAGTTCAGGGACTACACTCAGGCCCTGAGTTTAAGCCCCATGACTGACAACATCACCAAAAAAGTGACTTGTTATTGATATATCTAGGTTTGAACAAACATACCATTTTATTTTGTGCTTTATGTTGGTCTCACCTGCTCAAGGTTGTTAGGTTTGCTTTGTAGGTTGGGGTTATTTTCTTCTTTCTCTCTCTATCTCTATCTGCCTTAGGCATTGACAGAGTTTTGAAGTTTTTTTACTTACATATTTTCTTTCCTCCCTGCCCCCCTTAGCCTCAAAATTTAGAAGGCTGAAAGGAAAAACTGATAGCAAAGTTCACAATCATATTTGGAAGATTTTTAGCATGTTTTTAGTTGATGAAAACAAAGCAGGAAAGGAATAGAAAATCTGAACAAGTCAGTTAACAAATGTGTCCTCCCGGAAGAAAGTGTAGAACAAGTCCCCATAGACTGCGCGCTCTTCTCAACGTAGCTACGAACGCTGACCTGACGAAGTCATAGAGGAAGTTTAAGCAAACTTACCATGGTGTTTATTCCCCGCCGGCCTCTGCTTCGTGGTATGGAGCCCTGTACCGCTTAAGCCACCCTACCAGCTCCTTTGTACGTTGGTTGTTTTCTATGATAGTGTCTCACTCTATGCCCATGCCAGTTTGGACTGTGATTCTCCTATTTGTACTTCCTCTTGTCACTGAGGATGGCAAGAGAGCCTCACTGTGCAGAGCCATTGTGCTTTGCCGGTAGCTGGGATAGCAGCCATTGGTTGAGATGAAGCCTTGAGAACTTTTTGGCCAGACTGGCCTCAAGCCACGATCCTCCAGATCTCTGCCTCTCCAATATACATTTTATCTCTAAAGGTAAAATTCAGTAACAGCACACACAACACCCAGAAATTTTTAATGTTCAAGAAATGAGAATTATTGCTAAAGTACTGTATACATGAATGAAGAAATCAAATGAGCATTAGAAATATTTTGAACTGTAAGAAAGAGCCACACATTAAAACTTGCCAGGTAAGGTTATATCAGCACTTTGGCATGAGGGAGTGCGTGAAAAGAGAAAGGCTGAGAACTCACAGGAGTTACAGGTAGAGGAGCAAGAGAAATCCACGGGTGAGCGAGAAAGGCAGAGGTCAGCCCAACCGCATCAACAGCCAGAAATCTTTTCTTTACCAAAAATAAAAATTGACCAGCCAGTGGCAAAATCCATCAAAAAACACTAGTAAGCAGTCTCAGGAATGAAAGCAGCTACCACGCATGCTGCAGGAAGTCGGAAGGCAACAAGTAACTTTGCCCCAAACTTGAAGATTTAAATATAAGACTTCCACAGGAATACAACTTCATACATTATTCACGCTTATTAACACGTAAGGCATGAAATAAAGAATTTCCTCATTATTTCCACACACAGATATAATCTGCTTGGACCATATTTACCCTCCTCATGGCTGAACCCCTTCCCAGTTACCAGCTGCCTTCACTCCATTCTTTTCCTTCAAATCTACATTGCGTGTATCAGAGAAAACATGTTTGTCTCCCTGAGTCTGGCTTATTTCACTTAGCCCAATGTTCTCCATGGTGTTCCATCCATTTTCCTGCAAATGACATGATTCCATTTTTATTTATGGCCTCATAATATTCCATTGTGTGTATGTATCACATCTTTAGCCAGTGCCCACTGCCAGGCACCTAGGCTGATTCCATAGCTTGACTGTTGTGAATAGAACCACAATAAACATGGCTGTGCAGGTGTCTCTACTGTATGCTGGCCTGTAACTCCTCCAGGTATATACCCAAAAATGTTATAGCAGGATATTATAGGAGGTTGTTGGCGGTGGGTTTTGTGTTAGTGGTGATACTAGGTTTGAATTCAGGGCCTCACATTTGTTAGGCAGGTGCTTTGCCTCTTGAACCAAACCACCAGCCCTTTTTTACTTCAGTTATCTTTTGGATATGGCTTCAAGTTTTTGCCTTGGGCCAGCTTCAGACCACATGCTCCTACCTAGGCCTTAACAAGCAGCTGGGATTACTTGTGCACCACAGCACACCTATGTTGAGACAAAGTCTCACTAACTTTCTCCCTAGGCTGACCTCAAACTGTCATCCTCCCAACCTTTGCCTCTGCTGGGCTTATTATTTTAGAACTATTTTAGGAGCCTCCATACTGACTTCCATACTAGCTGCAGTACTTTATATTCTTACCCACTGCGTATAAAGGTTTCTTCCCGGACACCTCTGCCCTCACTAGCATCTGTTGTTTTCTTGCCAGCCATTCTGATGGGTGAAATGGAAGCTCTGCTGTCATTTTGAGTTGCATTTCTGATAGCCCAGGAGGCTGAACATGTCATGTCTGGATGTATTTATTGGCCATTTGTACTCACTGGTACACCCCGGCTGGTTTACATGTGAGTGTCAGCTTCTCATTCCCCTTCTCCCCAGGCTGGTGTTGGAGCTGTTCTCTCCTTTTTCTTTTTTTTCTGTTTTTTTTTTTTTTTGGGGGGGGTCCGGTCATAGGGCCTGAACTCTGGGCCTGGGTACTGTCCCTCAGCTCTTCAGCTCAAGGCTAGCGGTCTACTACTTGAGCTACAGCGCCACTTCCAGCTTTTTTCTTTGTGCTTATGTGGTGCTGAGGAATCGAACCCAGGGCCTCAGGCATGCAAGGCAAGCGCTCTACCACTGAGCCACCTTCCCAGCCCATGTTCTCTCCTTTTTCTTACATCACCTTCCAGTGAGCATGCCACCATCTCACCCCAGGATCAAGAATACATTTTGAAACTGACTCAAAAAATTACAGAAAACCTGAATAGCCCTATAGCATTGAAAAAAAAATTACGTCGGTCATGAGACATTTTTCCACAAAAGGAACTCCACACCCAGAGGCCGTGGGGAAGTTCCATCTCCCATATAAAGAGGAAACCATCCCAGAAACATCTTACTCCAGAGAATAAACAGACAAAGAATTCTCTCATTTTATGAGACTAGTGTGACCTTGGAAGCAAAACTTGAGAAGGGCTGCCCAAGAGAAGAAAACCACCGACCTGCCTCAGACAGCGTACAGGGAGGCACACGCCGCTTCACGTGTTTGCTTCATTTCAGAAGAGTTCAGAGTGCCATGCCAGTCCTATGCCAGGGCCCTGGAGCAGTGGCTATAGTCTCCAGGTAGGCTTGTGGCACAGAGACCACAGAGTCCGTGTGTGGAAGGCCCCTAGCGTCTGCTGTCCATGTCCCCGTCTGAAAATCACGTCACTGGCCTTTTTCCCCCTCCCTGCCCTGTCCCCCTCACCGCTGTAATGAAACTTAGTTCTCTAAATCCCAGTCCCTTGAAAATTTTCAACTAGGAAACAAACTAATCCATTCTACTGACTCTTCCAGAAATTTCCAATTGACTTTCAGGCCATTGTGAACAGAAAAGGAAGCTATTCTAGGCATGAGATGTCCACTACTGTCCATCAGACCACAAAGAGACTTCTACAAGTCAGACCAGGTTGGGAGCAGCAGGAGCTGGCCTTTCTACATTTGTCTCCGGGGAAGAGCTGGTGGAAGCGAGGGGCCTCTGTTCCAGCGCCTGGGAGCCATCTGCAGGGAAGGGGAAGCAATTACAAACTGGAGCCCCAGCTCTAGGGAATTGAAAGGAAAATGGAGACATTCCATTTTATTTTCCAAGTCCCTTATCATAGCTTCCTATCCCTATTACAGCTCTAAGGGCGACTTCAAGTCTGTGTGAAGCCATCTTGTGAATGCTACTGGATAGGAACAGACATAACTGTGGAGATTTTCGGGTACTGTGGGTAGATAAATGAACTTACCAACACAAGCAAGTGGAAGCCTGTGTAGGGCTGGCGTGCTGCGCTATGAGGCGAGGAGGGGTTTGTGAGTGCAGAACAAAGTGAGAGCCAAGCAGAAGCACATCCTCCAGCAGAAGGGTGGGAAGGCTCGGGGCTTGGGCGGGGGGGCGGGGGGGTCCCAGTTCCTCAAGGCTCTATCCGGGTCTGCAGA